ATAAATAACATATTCAGAAAATAAGTGCAGCAGAAATGAAAATGTTAAGATGGACAAGTACAAAAACTAGAAAAAGATAGGATCAGAAATAAAATCATGTAAAAACTATACTGCACTCTACCTTAGAATTCTAAATTCCATTGTAGATCTACAACAATTTAAAATTTTAAATATCCCAACCTATAACACCAATACCCGCCCATGTACTAGCATCAATTCCGACTTGGCACCTACCCAATTGTACAATAGAGCTAAGATTTGTTGGGGTGGACTGAACAATAAAAGCCCCTAAAATTATCTGTAGAAACTTAGGAGTAGATCCAATAGGTGATAAAATGAGAGAGAGAGAGAGAGTAGTAAGATGATTTAAGTACGTGCAAAGAAGATCACCAACAGCTCCAATTAGAAGAAGTGATTTATTAAAAGTGAAAGGGTTTTTTTGGGGAAAATTATAGTTAGAGTCAGATGTACATTTAAATTTATGTTGCTGGTTGGTTTAGAAACCAACAAAACTCTAACAACCGGCTGTACAATTCAAATTATAAAAACCCCCGCCATGTCATTGGAGACTTATGTAGTTGTTGCCAACATGGGACTCTTAATCCATGTTGGACACACCATGGATTATTTGAAAATAAAAAAAAAAAGAGTTTTCACTTTCTCTCCCATTCCCTTTGTCTCTCCCACTCCCACTCCCTCTCGATCTCCCTCCCACTCTCTCACTCTCACAATCATCTCTCGACCTCCAACTCCCTCTGTCTCTCCCACTCTCTCAACTTTGGTCTACAACCAAATCATCTCTCTCTCTCTCTCTCTCAGTCTTTCTCTCACTCCCTCCCTCATTTTTTATTTTTCTTAAGAAACTTATACGATATTAATCAGACCGTATAAGTTATAAGTTAGTCAAGAGACCAACAACTTGTACAATCAAGTTATAAATTTCTATCAAGTTGGTGTAGATTTCATAGCCAAGAATTACTTGTGATTTTTTATCAAATTGGATCGAAAGAATTAAAACCGCACTAAGTTTGTCTTATATTCTTTAATATGGTCAGGTTAATACCGTATAAGTGTATAAGAAAAATAAAAAAAAAGAATGAGAGAAGGAGCACGAAAGAAACTAAGAGAGAATGATAAAGATTGAGGGAGGAGAGATCGACCAAGAGAGAGAGAGAGAGAGAGAGAGAGAGAGAGAGATTAAATGAGAAACAAAGTGAGAGATATTGAGGAAAAACGGTAGATTGACAAAGAGGAGAGAATGAGAGAGATTGACTGAGAGAATGTAAAAACATTTTCTCAAATCACAGTCATTGAGTTGGGAAAGATGACTATTTGAGTGAGAGAGTGGGAGGGAGATCGAAAGAAAGAGGGAGTGGGAATGGAAGTGAAAACCCTTTTTTATTTTCTAATAATCAATGTTGTGTCCAATATGGATTAAGAGTCTCATGTTGATAATAGCCATATAAGCCTCCAATGACATGGTGGGGGTTTTTATAATTTGAAATGTACAGTTGACTCTCAAAAGTTTTATTGGTTTCTGAACCAACATGTAGCATCATTTTAAATGTTGAACTGGCTAAAACTATAATTTTTCCTTTTTTTGGTAAGCAAGTGAAAAGCGGTTATAAGAGCTAGGGATAGACCAAAAAAAAGATGGATTATAATAAAAAATGATTTAAGCATTAATAATTTTATAGTGAATATGACTTTAGAATGAATTGAAAATAGTCAGCCCCATATAATATTGGAATAAGGTGTGGATGATGGTGATTCCTATTAACAGCAACTATTTAACACCTTATTGAACTCTCCTATTGAAAGTCTATATTTGACATCTTATTCAACTTTACTATCCTACTTCGTGTATTATGTCTTTTCTGCACCATATCGGGTTGTTGGTTGCAAAGGTTTAATATGGAGTTTCTCTTTTGCCCGGTTCTTTGGACTCCTAGGTAGGGCAATAAATCTGCCCATACACTTGCTAAACATGTCCTTACAATCTCTTATTGTTTACTTGAAATTCTACTCCTTCCTTTTTACAACATATTGCAATAAATGATCTGCCGAGCTTAATTAATAGATTCCCCCAAGCAAATTGCTGGGGTTTATTCTTTACTAAATTTATAATTATTATTATTATTTCAACTATAATTTAGACTTCACATAATACGCTTTGTGAGACTTAATTTCTGTATCATTTATATGCTTTGTGAGCTCCCTAGTGCATTCATGTGTGGCCTAATCATTCCATTGTTTCCATGTGTCTCAAAGTATATCCTAGTATGTATCTCAAAATTGCTGTTCTCTGTGAAGTATTGGTACTTTGAACTTTAATTTGAGTCCAAGTCATCCATGTAAAAGCAAGGTTGTATCAATATGCATCAGCAGAGTTAGTCCAATATATATCTGTGTGTGTATGTGTGTCTTCAGCCTCTATCGATCTGTGTTGGTTCCTATTGGTCTATTCAATTATTACAAATTAGGAGTGATCATTTTTCGATTAAAACCAAAAAACTGAACCGAAATTTTCAGTTTGGTTATTTTGGTTTTTGGTTACTTCGGTTCGATTTATTCAGTTTTACAAAATGTTTCAGTTTCAATTTTCGACTATGAAAATTCGGTTAACCAAAAAAACAAAAAAAACACAAAGTTATTATTTATACATAATATATATATATATATATATATATATATATTAATTTGATATTAACCGAAATAGATTAAAATCAAACCTACAATTTCAGTTTCGATTCGGTTTTTCATTTAAAACTTCGGTTTTAAAATTTTTTATTTATTCGATTCAGTTTTAAACCAAATAAACTGATTTCTCACCCCTATAAGAAACCAACATACAAATGCTACAAATCGACATCGTTAATGGGTCAATTCTGCCCTATTGAGCAAAATGAACCAAACCAATATTGCTGGTTATGGTTTCATGATTTTATCCTGGGTGATATAATTGGGTCAATTGTAGTTCATTCCTATTCTAAACCAATTCAAACCCGAAGCCAATTATTTTTTAAAATAAATATAAGATTTTCTTAACTTTTTTATAATTTTTATCATATTTTATGTTTGAAATGGAAACTTTGATAGATAACATATAAGGTATTAAAATTATTTAATTTATAATCATATAAGTAATTTAGTATCTTACCGTCATTTTTATTAAGGTTATATACTCAAAATTTAAATCTTAAGTTATTATTTCAATAAATAAATATAGTTTTTCAATATAAACAGTGGTAGACCGACTATGAAAAAAACGGTTCTAGGTCTCTGATTTTGTCCCGATTAATAATCAGTTTGGAATTGGGACCACCATGTCGGGCCTGTCCTGACCCAAACCCAACCTGTTGACAGCCCTAACCATGCTCATTTGTAACAAAAGTATTAAAAACCCATTCTTAACCGTTACAAATTACAAATTGACGTTCAATACAAAAACACTGTTACAAGCCCATACTTGAGCTTTACAATCCATCCTCAAAGGTGTCAGCTATTTCAAACCATATTCCACTATCACATTACATACCAAAAAATTGTTAAATAATTTTTATCCACTCTCAACAAGTCATTTAGTTGAAAAAAAAAATTGTATACGATGAAAAATATTCACTAGGTCTCTTTTAATTGTCCTAAACCCTGGTCTAATTTCAATTGATAGAAGTAACCTTATCAGACATTATATTGAAAATTTTCACCTAACGTTTAGACCATTTTCCCCCCAATACCTTTCCGTTGTGCAGGGGTGATCTACTCTGCTTTAACTCACTCGCTATTGAAAAGATGGCATTTTATTTAGACTCAAAAATACAAATGTATACAATGCAAATACATAAAAAATAATACAAAATATAAATATAAATATGCAGATTGCAGACTGCAAAGCCTTTTTATTTTGTATGTATTTGTACTGCACATATTTGTATTTGTACTTCTTCGAGCCTAGATACAAAAGGTTATAAAGATTAAAAAAAAACAAAATATACATATAATTAAGTAAATATTTAAGTTGGATTGTTGGTTATAAAAAAGAAATAAATTGTCTGTGTTTTTCATATGTATTTGTGTATACATACATAAACTAGAGTTCAAATATCAACCAATCCCATTAAGGGTCTGTTTGGTTCATAGCCAGAACAAAAGTTGGAATCAGAGTTCTTTGGAATCAGAATCAGAATCAGAATCAGAATGGTCCAAGGTTCAAAATATCGATACGCCCGATACACCAGTATGGGTGTCTCGGGCGAATCAATACAGCTTTTGATGCTTTTTTTTTAATTTTTTTCGCAACCAGTTCAGGGTTCCTCCACCCCCTGAACCGGTCAGACCACCGATACACCCACTGTAAGGGCATATCAGAGGGGTCCTGGGATAAGTATCGGCCGATACGTGTCAATACTTTGAACCTTGAAATGGTCTATTCCCATAGTCTATTTCAGACAGAAATGAGAATGGAAATTGAAATCAACAAGAATATGATTTCATTCCCATAGGAGGTAGGGAATGACCATTCCCTCAAATGGGGGAATGTCATTCTAGCAAGAATGGGAATGAGATTCCAATTCCACCCAACCAAACAATTAGAATCAGAATAACCCATTCCGATCCAATTTCAGACCCCTATTCTTGCAAACCGAACAGGGCATAAATCTTATTTTTCATTAGTTCAGATTTTACAAAATGTTCTTTAACATTTACAAGACATCATCACATTCAACCAATTCCATCTTTCCTTGCACGGTGCAATGGACGCACCATAGATATTGGCTAAAACAAAAATATTATGTAAAGGCCTTAGCCTCTTCAACACCCAACCACATCGCTTCCCCCTTTACTCTATTAAAACCTTTATTAGCATTCTTCCATAGGGGGATATGCATTAGGATGGCCAATACAAACTGACATGGATAATATAAACAGCATTAAAAAGTGATCTGCTCCACTCATAACACGTGTCCATAAACTCGAAAACCACATGGTCAATACATATATTGTATATAATGGAAAAATTTATTATACCGGAAGAGATTTGACCCATCAAAACAACCATAAATTTGATGAACACCACCTGATTGGTCACCTTTTATAGTCGAACCCATTATATAAAATAAGATGACTCAACATTCACAATCAACCGGACAATGCAATTAAACTTTAATCATTAAATTAGTTGGTGACTTACCCAAGAAAACAATAAATTAGTTGCACATAAGGAGAATATCAATATACAAGGGGCAGAATAACAAGAGAGTCATGAAAAGAACACTGCTTCAACTTCTCAAAAAAGCATCTTGAGCTGCTTTCTCCCGTACATGGTTCCAAGTTGAATCTTATTCCTCCTTTCTTTGAATTGATGATTTGATCTTCAAATAGGGGTATTCACTTGGTGCGGTCCAGAGACCCCACAGTATGGTTAAATGGATGCAGAACAGAACAAAAGAAGAGTAGAAATTTGAAGGATATATGTTCCAGCAAAGCTCTACGCCTAAGAACAAAATGAGCCTACATAACAAACACAAAAAGAATTACCGATATAAAAAGAAAGAAATGGAATATGAACTCATAAAACCTTTTTAGGACTTGTTGGGTTATAACATACCGTAGTGGAGTAGAAAATTTTGTTTTCCACAGTAAAAAAGGCAAGCTGTAGAAGTACCTGTACGCCAACAACTCTCACAGTGAGCTTTATAACAGATGGAAGCCCATAGGATGGCAATGGAGCAGGTTCGGGAGGGTTTTAAGAATTCTAAACCCTCTCCGCCTCCTCAAACCTCTCAACCCATACCCTTCCCAAAATGTACAACGGGTTAGATTTTCAGAATCCAAACCCTCCCTGCACATGAAAATGCAAAACCCTCCCCAACCCTATCCTCATTGCATTTAAGGGTGGGGTGGGTCAGGCCCAGGACCTGCATCTAATTTCCTGTTATTATAAGCAATAAACAAGCAAAATTACATGAACAAACATCAAAATTTCCAGTGATGCAATTACAAAATAAAGAAAACACAAACCATCAACTACCCTTGACATAAGATTCAAAACATTATTGAATTCAATACATAATATCCATTGTCCAAGATTGTATATTATGGATTGCGGCAGATCTGGGAGGGTTGGGTTTAACCTAATATAATACTGTACCCTACCCCAAAATCTGCTTTTCAAACAAAAAACCCACCCCATCGAGACAGCTAGGGGAAGGTAACCCACCAGGTAGGGTAGAAATTGCCATCCCTACCATCTAGAGAAGTGTTGACATCCAATGGTTGTGTGTCTGTATACTACCACAAACACTGCCATCTTATCTACATAATATTAGTAGGTTCAAACAGATAACATTTTCAAAGGATTCATGCCCTCGTTGTTCTGGAGTAGAACATCCAGCTAAAGATTTGAGAAAGTAAGATTTTTCAACTGATCTCATGCTGGCCATCCTATGCTACTTTTCCAACCTACAAGGAACAAATTTGAGCTCAAAAATCCTTGCCACAAGATCAAAATTAGCCCTTTTTACCAGTAAAGTTTATCTTTGTCAATTAACATAAAATTGAATAACAAATCAAGAAGAAATAGAGAAAGCACCAAGCTTTAACATGGTTCGTCTCAGTAGCCTACATCCATAGGAAGAGGGAAAAATATCCACTTTGAGAACAAGGCCATGTTTGGAAGTGCTTAAAAATAAATGCTTACTTGGGCCGGGACCACACCATTAAACACTTATTGGTGTTTGGGAAATAAGCCCAAAATAAGTGCTTATTTTAAAAATAAGGGCTTATTTTTTTAAGCCCAAATTTCCAGCTTTTTTTAAGTGCTTAAATAATAAGCACTTATTCTATTTTTTTCTACCAACACTTTCCTCATTTAATTTTTATAATTCCAACAATGCCCTTCAAATGTAAAAAGGTATGGTTTGGGCCATCGATTGTTTCTTCTCCATTGCCCTCTGTAACCAGCAGCATAACTTGGTTCTCCTTGGCCGAATAATCATTCCGAAGGCGGAGATCTATTACCGGCATAACTTGGTAGGATTTTGTTGAGAAGTGGGGTTTTCTTTTGGGTTTTGTTTTGAGCAGATACACAGTTGAAGAAGACAAATAACAAGAAAGAAAAAGACTTTGGCATTGCAAGTGGGTCGTTTCGTGTTGGAAGAATGTCTGCAGCTGCATCTTCACCGGTGGAAATGAGTGCATCCAGATTTGTAAAGTGTGTCACAGTCGAGGATGGGGCCATTGGAAGCCATAAACCAGGAAATTGTTCGAACCCAATATAAACAACAATGAAGTCGTAAACCACGGATTTTACTTCAATACAATGCAAAGTACTTGAAATAACCACAACAAATCTAAAATATCTCGTCAGAACAGACAAAACAACTGTGTAAAACAAGGGTAAACAAGACAGAAACTGTAAAGTAACATTGATTTCTGTAAGGCTATGATGGAAGGTAGTAATGATCACATTGGAAGAGCTGCTAATAAGTTCTCAGAAGAAGACCTCCTTGTTGCTGTAGAAGGTGTTGATGATCAGACTCAGCAGCTGGTTGATCTCAGCCTGGAAGGCAAACGTCTCGGTATCCACCATGATGAAGAAAAAATGAGAAAACAAAGTTGAGATCGTTGTTGATTAGGGTTTGTGAGAGAGAAAAGGAAAAAAGAGAGAGAATGGGTTTGGAGTCGAACTGTGTTGATATATAGGGACTTTACTCGGTGAAAAGGAGAAAAATGGAAATTATGGTATATTTTGAAAATTTAAAGAAAATGAAGGGAAAAAGAGTTACAAGTGCTTTTTGAAGAAAAAACCACCAAGTGCCCAATATGAAATAAGTGCTTATTTTTTAAAATAAGCACTTGAAAAAGCTGGGTGCCAAATGCAAATAAGTGCTTATTCGAATAAGCACTTGTTTTTAACATAAATACTCCCAAACATGGCCTAAGAGATACATGGCTGACTTCTCTACAGATTCACAACAAAATATCCACTCTCACTCAACCTTAATCCCATAAAACAATGGCTTAAATTAGCAAAAGGGCAAATTATATCAGAATTTCACATAGGCCCCTCTTTCTCCCATAAATATATACAAGTCCCCAAAACTTATCAGCATTACAAATATACCCCTATAACCTCCAAAAACCGAAATACAATATATCTCTCTACAATCTTTAAAAAGAAAATGAAACTAGAATGGCTAGTGTTAGTTGGAAAATCCATCAAAACAATTAATTATGCTAAATTGACACATTACAAACCAACAAGACCCTATATTAAGTATCCAATTGATGATAGTTGAAATTTGCTTTGAACTAATTAACATGCACAACATAATATATAAGAGTATCATCCTAAAACATAATAAAACAAAAGAAAATACTCAAGGAAAAATTACCATGAATAAAATTGATAATGCAATGATCTGGCACATACAATTCCAATGAAGTTACCAACGAACATAGTAGTTGCAATATCTGCATTAGTTCCAAAGCCATTTTAGTCCTAATTCAGAAGAAAAGCATAGAAAAAAATGCCATTAGGAGCAAAAAGTATCATCTTATAACCCCTAGAAGTTTGTAACTTACGTTCATTAGTGAGAAGATTGGAAGTAGCAATTCTTAGAGGCATAGAGACAAGTCTAGAGCGCAAAAAACGGATAAGTCCACCCTCATGCCTGGAAAAATATTATAAAGTGAGTAAAATATTGTTAGGTAACTAAGATACTGACAAACCCAATTGCCTTTTAATAGGAACAACTGATCAAAAAGTATATTTTTCTTCCATAACAAGAATTCTTCAACTTCATTTTTTATCAATATTCTTCAACTTCATTTTACAACATCCTCCTGGTAACCTCAGTCATAAACTACCGAGATCCTTGAGGGCCATGGCCTTGAGACATGATGCTTTGGCAATCTTAACCATTTAGTCTAGAGATTGACATAAAAAAGGAAGCAGAAGCTAAGACTTCAGACCAGAGGGAGTTGAATATGAAGATTTCCAGGCTATAAAGTCCAAGAGGAGAGTAACACAATTTTAGTTGAATAGACACTCCATAAGAAACTATGAACATGCTGGGATAGTTCTAGCTCAAGTGGTAGCATGATATGGACCAATAGTGGCCCCATTAGTGACACGACTCCATCATAGAATGATTTGAGCCTATAGTAGCCCTGTTGGCAACATGACTCCATCAGAGCTTAAGTGATTGAACTCCTTAGTTGTTCTTAGTGCACATATTGTGTAAAGATTTAAACTATTATCCCTTGCTGAAACTTGAAAAAAACTGACAATTAATTACAAAACTGAAACTGCCGGATTATCCAAAAAGAGCTTCTAAAAGCTAATAGGTTACCTACGGCCAAGATTGCGTAATGATCCTTGTGTCGATGCATGTGATTATCATAATAAGACACTTCTACATAAAATATTACTTTGTTTCCTTAATAATGTAACATATATGAACAGAAAATGTACAGAATGGGTGTCATTTTTTCTTGTAAAATGTTATCAAGTAATAAAGATAAACTTCTAGACCTATGGTGAGGAACTTTGCTACCTAATTACAGCAAGGGCACAGCTGGATTTGGTATTGCATACAAAATTTACACTAAAAATTGAAGTATGCAACATGATACAACACCCTTGTACAGGTAACCAGGTATCATAGGTGAGAACACAGCTGGATATGTTGTCGGATATGAAATTTACACTAAAATTTGAAGTTGTCCAACGCAATATAATACCCTGGTACATACTGATTAAAAAAAATACGATACCCTGGTACAAGTATCCAGGAATCATAGCCATTTCCTATGGGCATATAATGTTACAATTTAAGTATAAATATATATATATATGAATTTTTAATAGTTTAATCTTGTCTACAAACATGTATGTGAGTCCTTGCTTTTTCATTTTGGCAAGACTCCTGGACACAGTTGGGTTCTAATTCCCCCGTCCTTGTCCATGCAACACTCGTACAAATATGCAAAAAAGTGAAAGTAGCACAACATACAAATAAAACACAAAACTTCCTTGTGTACCTTGCTTGTTTTTAGTTCTATACTTCTATAGTTCTATATTGTGCTATATCACATGTAAATCCCCTTCTGTACTTTTACCACCCATTTATTTTTTTCCAGATTCATTTTACATCCTGAATGCAGACATAGTGACACACACAAGATGAGATTTCGCATACTTACTTGCACCACCTAAAATGAGCAAATGCTGTAAGTAGTAGAAGATGAACAACCAGCAAGGAAAACGCAAACTCCTTTGATATAAAGATTGATTCAGGGATGAATTTGAAGTTCACAGACCTGATAAATTACAGGAAATCTGATTTTTCAGTTTGATAGTTAGAGTATATAGACTATGTTGAGAAAAATCAAAACATCACCAATGTTGGGCAATATTTTATGAGAAATTATAATGACAAAAGAAGTAGAACCAAATGAAGATAGAGGATGTATGCTCCAATTATATTCATATTTCTCTCATTCTAAGGAATAAGTTGTTGACGAGTTTATATTGTGTTAGGAATGGTGCAGAAATGGAAGCACAATATCCGATTGCAGCAAACTTTTGCCCCATTTTCTGTCATTGTAGCAGATTTTCGAATTTAGGGTGTTAGTAATTCTAGGAAAAAAACCTGATTTTTCACTTCCCATTGCCTCCTCAAATCCAAATGCAGACCTAAAGTTTATCACCCTATTAGCCCTATCAGAAGACTTATCACCTAAGGTAATTGTAAAATAGCTCAAAAAGGCAATCACGCCAAGGTCAGATGGAGAGATTCATGATGAAGGGAGGGCTTCAATATCTCATCTACTATAGCAGAATATGTCAACAATAGTTGGGCCTTCTAGGGAGTAGATGCAGATTGTTGTAGCCACTCTTTGATTATCTAAAACATCTTCAGGCTTATAAATTTATCTTCTGATTAGACAAATACAACTCTAGGAGGATGACCAGATAGAAAAATACTGCCTTTCTTAGGGTAGAAAATCACCTAAATCAAAACTCACCTTGCAAGAGTGCAGTATAGCTCCCTTATTTCTAGGCCTGAAGATGGGTTAAAGTGCTCCATTTTTCTTTTACTCTATTCATTCTTCATTATTTATTAATACAATATTATATCCATAGATTAAGCACAGCCTAAGCAGAAAAAGTACATGTAATAATTACCAATAAATACTCAATCAGCAGAACATTGATAATGTGTTGGACAAGATTCACAAGAAAACTAACCAAAGAAAAATACAATATTTCAATTAATAATGGAAAAAAAGCATCCAGCTAGAAGATGTACCAGAAGTGGATGAAGACACGACCAAGATTGAATGCTCTAGAGATATATGCTACTGGATGTGATAATAAAAATGGCAACCCCAACAAAATCTGCAGAAATTTCAACAAATCATAAGACCACTTATGGATGTGATAATCAATACAACACTCATGCTGCAGCAATGCTATTAAAGGTTTTTCCCACTTTGCCTAACCAAAATAAGAAGGAAAAATAACTCGACACTGCCCCATAAGCAATTTGTGGACAGCTCTTACAACCTTAAATTTTCAAACTGACCTACAACTGCCTTGTTCAAGCCAATATCCCAAAATCAGGAGAAAGCAGCTTTGTCTCTTCTATTGATCAAAGTGCACAACTGCACATGTTAAGAGATCAGTCTTTCCAAGCTCCCACATCATTTTTTTTTCACCCCAAACGAAAGAAATGAAATTAAAATGGAACCAAAACATCTCTCAGTCCTTGTTAAAGACTGAGAAGGCACAACCTAATTAACTCCATGCACATAAGCTGGTTAACCCACAGGCCTTGTATGGGAGTAATTACAGGTGGTCATGAACATTGTGATTGGAAACCATAACAGACACCCCAACCTCTTCATCTTTCCCATTATGCAAAAAGCTTGGTCTAGCACCCAGCCCAAGTCTAACTACACCCTGCAAATTGTCTCCCATTTAGCTCTGAAGGTTTTCGGCAAGAGGAAGAAGAAACAAGAGAAAGATTTAGAGAATGGTGCAGCAGTCTTACTCCCTGTCCAGCCCTAATTGATATTTAAAGGAGTGTTTAAAATAATGTACAAGTAATAATGCCCCTCATTAGGAGGGCAGAACATAAAATATTTAAACATATAAAGCTCAAGGTCATTCTTCCCAATAAGAAACATAAAAGAAAAAAAGAAAAAAAGAAAAAAAATAGTGCAAGAAACAGCCAACCCAATAATAAACAAGTCTTACAATACTCCCCCTCAAGTTGAGCGTAGATATCTATCATGCTCAACTTGCCCAACAATACATGGAATCTTGTCTTACATAATCCTTTCATGAAGACATCAGCTAGTTATTTTCCAGAAGGCAAATAGGGAATGCATAAGGTTCTTGAGATGATCCTTTCCCAAACAAAATGCCTACCAATCTCAATGCGGTTGGTTCTAACATTCTGAATAGGATTATTTGCTATGCTGATAGCAGCTTGGTTGCCACAATAAAGCCCCAAGGGACCATCCATCTGAATTTCCAACTCCTTTAGCAGAATTTGAACCCATAGTAGTTCGGTTACACCATGAACCATTTCTCCATACTTTGCTTCAGCACTAGACCCAGTCACAACCATTTGCTTCTTAATTCCCCAAGTGACCAAATTTCTACCCAACAAATGTGCAATATGCAATAGCAGACCTACTGTGCCAACAGACCCTGCCCAGTAAGCATCAAAATATGCTTCAACCAAGGTTCTAAACATCAATACAGGCCGATACGCCAGTTGGTTAAAGCCCCGACTACCCTCTGAACCATGGCCTGACCTGATACAATCCCTGTAGTGGTGTATCAGGATGGCCCCGATACGATACGTATTGACTGATATGGGCTGACACGTAACGAAATTTTGATACTTGGCTTCAACTACTAGCTTGAAATGTTTCTTGAACAATAAACCCTTTACTAGATATTTTTTTTGGTGAGGTGAGAAATTCTGGGAGCTTGCACAAATTGGCTTACAATATGAGGTCTGCTGAGGGACAAATAGAGAAGTTTAACCACCAAGCATTGACACTTCTCTCTATGAGTGTACAATTTTTTTTTTATAATTGAAATATATTCCTTATCAAGAAAGTATAAACTGACACAGTAGACCAGAGAGAGGTGCAAGGTCCGGCCCCACCCTTAAGTTAATACAACATCAATAAGTAAGGTATTAAATAAGATAAGACAAGATTACAAAGCGGCCCAAAAAGTTCCCTGTTTGCCCCTTGTTTAGCAAGACAATCAGCAAATACATTTGACAACCTACCCTCCCACTGCTTGAAAGTCAAAATCAAGGAGTGGAATATTCTCCACTTTGGAAGGTTAGTGGAATATTCTCCACTAAGGAAGAAACATGATGTTTTGGGGATCGGGATAAAGAACTGAGGTGGGAGCTAAGGAAGAGTCTGGAGGACACAATTTTCAAAGAAGAAATTAGTTGGAGGCAGAAATCTAGACATAAATGGGTGAAGGAAGGAGATAGGAATACAAATTTTTTCCATGCTATAGTGTTACAGGCCCGAGAATAGGATCTCGTCACGAGTCAGTCCACAGGGAAAGCCTCCTGTTTTCCCTTGTTCCTCCCTTTTCTTGAGGAACCTATCTTGGCACCTTAATGGTGATTTGTTCAAGAGATCACCAAACTCTCCATTGCTCTCTTTCTTGACTGAAATTTTCGATGCCTTTTATTGAATAATATCAGCTCCTTAAATAGAAGATTACAAGAGGTAAGAGTCCTACTTTTAGGAAGACTCCTTACTAATCTATACTACTGAATAGATAAGATAAGAACACTGAATAGATAAGACTCCCTACTAATCCCTACTACTGAAACAGATAAGATAAGAATACTGAATAGATAAGACTCCCTACTAATCCTACTACTGAAAACAGATAAGATAAGAATGCTGAATAGATAAGATAGAACTTTATCTAGCTGGAATTAGATAAGATGAGAACTGAGAACACCCAATTACTACTGCCGGCGGAGATACTTCTTCCCAATAAACGTGTCCACATCATTACTCCCCTCCTGGACTAAGAGCTTGTCCTCAAGCTCGAAACCAGGATAGGTGTCTTGAAACACAGTCAAAGGAATCCAGGATAGGTGGAATGATTTTGCCCTCTTGGATCAAGTTCCAATGAAGGGGGTTCATCCTCATCTTCCTCTTGTTCCACCAGGAGACAGAAAAGTCTCTTGCACTTGTGCCCTACTGAGTAAAGTTCATCACAATTAAAACACTGTCCCCTCGCCCTGTGCTCCGCCATCTTAGCCCTGGACAAGTGCCTAATAGGGGGTGCAACAACGCTGCTCCCCACACTGGATGCCGATTGGAATTGTTGCTTGTCTGTGGTTTCTGTTCTGCGGCCGAGTTGCAGCTTGCATTCGAAGGCGCGAGCTAGATTCATGGTTGTAACCAGGTTGGGGGGATGTTGCATCTCCACATCCACCCTCAAGGGTTCTGCTAACCCTACAGTGAACATGTCTACCTGCTAGTCCGGTCGTACCGATGCTGCTCTGGCAAGGAGGGTGTGGAACTGGCACTGATATTCAACCACCGTTCCTGTTTGTTTGAGGTTGATCAGTTCACCTAATGGGTTGCTTGTTAATGGGGGCCCAAACCTGAGAAGGCAGTAAGATTTGAATTGGGTCCAACTGAGCCCGGGTTCCTCCTGTTCCAATCGATAAAACCAAAGTTGCGCCTCCTCCGTCAAGTGAAATGCGGCTAGACTTACCTTGTCTCTGTCCTTTGTCCATTGGTTGCAGAAGAACTGCTCACATCGGTACAGCCACCCCAAGGGATCACCCGCGCCGTTGTAAGAAGGGAACTCCAACCTGTTGAATTTGGGAATGACCGCGGCTCCCTGGGTGACGATCTGTTGTTCGCCAGATGACTCCGCCATGTCTGGTCGACGGCTGTTAGTGGTTGTCGCTCCTTCTGGGTTCCTTTCCTTGTTACAAAAAAATAACTCCATCAGGCACCGTAACTCTCGGACATCGTCCTTGATTTCGCATACCTCCGTGTTGTTCTCCACGAGCCGGTGCTCCAGATCACCCATGACGCCTTGCTCTGATACCAAATTGTTACAGGCCCGAGAATAGGATCTCGTCACGGGTCGGTCCACGGGGAAAACCTCTTGTTTCCCCTTGTTCCTCCCTTTTCTTGAGGAACCTATCTTGGCGCCTTAATGGTGATTTGTTCAAGAGATCACCAAACTCTCCTCTGCTCTCTTTCTTGACTGAAATTTCCGATGCCTTTTATTGAATAATATCAGCTCCTTAAATAGGAGATTACAAGAGGTAAGAGTCCTACTTTTAGGAAGACTCCTTACTAATCTATACTACTGAATAGATAAGATAAGAACACTGAATAGATAAGACTCCCTACTAATCCCTACTACTGAAACAAATAAGATAAGAATACTGAATAGATAAGACTCCCTACTAATCCTACTACTAAAAACAGATAAGATAAGAATGTTGAATAGATAAGATAGAACTTTCTCTAGCTAGAATTAGATAAGATGAGAACTGAGAACACCCAATTACAGCTATTGCCGGCGGCGATATTTCTTCCCAATAAACGCGTCCACATCATATAGCTAATAGCAGAAGAAAGAAAAACACCATCTCTAAGCTGATGGTTGATGGGACAGTTTTAACTCAACAGAATGAGATTGTCGGGGCTTTTGTGGAACACTTTAAATCCATCTTTAGGAAGCCTCTGTTTAAGAGATTAAGGATTGAAGGGTTGGATTGACCTAAGCTCCCAGATGAGTTGATTATGTGGTTGGAAAGAGAGTTTGACCTGGAAGAAATAAGGGATGCCATTTTTTCTATGGATAGATCTAAAGCCCCGGGCCCTGATGGTTTCACAATGGCTTTTTATCAAAGACTGCTAGGAGATAATTAAGGCCGACATTCAAAATGTTTTCTCAGAATTCTTTGGAAGAGGAGTGATAAACCCTAGCCTGAACTCTACTTTTATTGCTTTAATTCCGAAAAAGGAGGGAGCTTGCCACCCTAAAGAATTTAGACCCATCAGTTTGGTTAATAGCCTCTATAAGATCATTGCTAAGGTGTTATCCAAAAGAATTAGAGAAGTGCTTCCCACAATTATATCCCACAATCAAGGTGCCTTTGTGATGAATAGACAAATTGTGGACGAAATCTTAATTGCAAATGAGAGTGTGGAAGATTATAAAAGTAGAGGGGAGAAAGAGTTTGTGTGTAAATTGGATCTAGAAAAGGCATACAATATGGTTGATTGGTCCTTGCTGTTGGAAGTTTTAAAGTCTTTTGGGTTTGGGCAGAGATGGTGTAATTGGATAAAAGGGTGTATCAGGACATG